TAAGATTTTCAATTATCACTTGAAGCTCACATTTTATCATCGGCAACAAAGGCCATCAAATGCTTTCCTTGGAATTACTGGCTCACTGTTAATTTTTATGAAAATATATGCTAAAGCATTAGTTTTCCTGCCAGTCTTACAAGTAAAAGTAGTATTTCACTAAAAAGTGGCTAGTTCAGCTTGCAACTTAGATAGGTAGTGAATAATAAAAAGTGCTAGTCCAGTTTGATGATGCTGTGTGTCCTCATGTATCTTCATGAAGACATTTTTGACAGAACTCCAGCAGTGTGAATCACATAACATTTGCAACATCAGTGCAAGTGTCAACACAGTGAAAGAACTAAAATAAACCATGTTAGTGCAGATGTGAAAATAACTTTGAATTAATGGACCTCATTAAAAGTCTTGAGGATTCTCAGAGGTGCAAAGGCCACACTTTGAGAACTTCTGCTTTAGGATATCCACTTGCAATTGTCCCTGATGCTTCCTAGGGTACATATAATTTAAAATTTACAAGATTGTGCCAAGTTATTTGTTCAAACTTATTACATACTAATGTGCATTGTCTTCATTGTCCACATGGATGAGCATAATAAATTCCTAGTAGGGGTTTTTACTGGCTCACAATATATATCCATTTCTACTTTTGTTAAATATTGTCAAAATATCCTGATAGACTACATTTCCAATACAAATTTTTATCAATAATTTATGAATGACTGATTCTCCACATCCTCTTCAATGCTACTTGTAATTAATGTTTTTAAAAAATTGACTGTTAGTCAATTTTCACATTGCTCTAAAGAAATGCCAAAACTGGGTAATTTATAAAGCAAAGAGGTTTAATTGTATCACAGTTCCACATGGCTGAGGAGGCCTCAGGAAACTTGCAGTCCTCGTGGAAATCAAAGGAGAAGCAAGGCATGTCTTACATGGCAGCAGGAGACATAGAGCAGGAAAATCGCCAGATCTTGTGAGAACTCACTCACTATAAGGAGAAAAGTAAGAGGGAAATTTGCCCCCATAGTCCAATCTCTTCCCACAAGGTTCCCTCTCCACATGTGGGGATTATAATTCCAGATGAGATTTAAGTGGGGACACATAACCAAACCATGCCATTGATTAAGAAAAAACACCCCAATTTCTCATCATTTTAACATGCAATGCCTTGATCAGTGGAGAGGTAAGTAATTCATCCTCCGTTATCGTTTGTATATTCTTTCTGTGAATTACATGGCTGGGTCCCTTGCCCACTGTTTCCTTGGTTAAATTTTTTTTTTTTTTTTTTTTTTTACTAATATCTAAGGCTTTCTTGAATATTTTGTGAATGAAAACATGTTTCCATGTTTCCTCCTACTGCATATTTTCCTCCTAATATTCTAAATTTGTTAACAAGTTCTTCTAACACAATTTAAATTCATCAGTAATTCTGCTGTTTCTCCTCAGCTTTGTCCCTCGCTTCAGAAAGCTCTATGCATTTATTTTATTTTAACATTTATTTTAAAATGTTTGTATTTTCAACTAATACTTTTATAGGTTTTTTCTTCTTTTATATTTAATCTACCTGATACTTACTTTTTAGTAGAGTATCTTTAAAGGATAGACTGACACTTTTTGTTGAAACATCTTCTTTATTCATTTTTCACATAACATTTTATATAGTTACATTTTATCTTAATAGAAAAAGGAAAAAAGGGAAGTCTTATGAAACTAAAAACATCAGAAAATGACTTAGTTAACTCGTAATACTAAGTTTAAGTTTCCTTCTACCATCGTATAATTTAAGTTCAGGTGGCAATGAATAAAGAAGCACCAGTTTATTTACCAAGGAGGCCTGCTTCTTTTAGTGGAGTGTGATATTTAGAAATTAAGATAAGAAACAGAGGCCTTAGGCATGTTCAAAGGTACTATGACATCTTATCTTTTAGTTCCTTTTAGTGAGCAGTGCAAGGAAATACATACTAAAAATCACGAGTTCATATTTATATGCGTAGTTTAAATTTACTATTGCAGTGTTTTGGCTAACTTTTTGATTTTATATTTTTTAGCTTTTTCTCTTATGATGAGACCTTGGCTTCTAACAACAATAGTACATTGACTTATGTGCTATATCGTTCAATATACATATTTCACAATACTAATATAACTCTTATAAAAAATTTATCAATAAACTTTCTGAATGTAGTTTAAATTTCATTTGAAGTTCTTTTTATGCTTGAAATATATCTGCTAAGAATAGACATTATATTGTTTCATTTATTTGAAATAATTTCTTTCTTGGGTAAATATACTGCTGTTTTGATAAAATATTAGGATCATGTGTTTCTGTTTATTTCAGGATTTGCTGTTTGATTATTTGAACGTGTCATAAAATCACAAAGTTCAAAAGGCAAAATCCTAGTAAGTGGAATACGCAGAGAAGTCTGGCTTCTAGGTCTGTCACCTCTAATTCATCTCCTCCTCCCCCAAGTGTGTATTCATAGCCTTTAGCTTTCATAAAACTTTCATTACTTTAAGTAAAAATAAGCAAATAGAAAATTAGCCTGGCATGGTGGTGGGCACCTGTAATCCCAGCTACTTGGGAGGCTGAGGCAGGAGAATGGCGTGAACCGGGAGGTGGAGCTTGCAGTGAGCCAAGATTGTGCCACTGCACTCCAGCCTGGGTGACAGAGCGAGACTCTGTCTCAAAATAAATAAATAAGTAAATAGATTAAAAAATAAGCAAATAGATACAATATTTTTATTTGTTTCTTAAATAAAGGTAAATTAGTATCGACCAGGCACGATGGCTCAGGCCTGTAATCCCAACACTTTGGGAGGCTGACATGGGTGGATTACTTGAGGTCAGGAGTTCAAGACCAGCCTGGTCAACATGGTGAAACTCCATCTCTACTAAAATACAAAAATTAGACGGATGTGGTGGTGGATGCCTGTAATCCCAGCTACTCTGGAGGCTGAGGCACAATAATTGCTTGAACCCGAGAGGCAGAGGTTGCAGTGATCCACCACTGCACTCCAGCCTGCTCTACAGAGTGAGACTCTGTCTCCGCCCAATGCCCCCTAAAAAGGGTAAATTACTACTTACTCTTTACCCTCATCCTATTCCACACTCTGTCTAATTCACTAAATGAAATATCCTGCATGGCAGTCTTCCTCATATTTTTGAAGACTGTAGAGTGCTCCACTGTAAAGAGGCACTTGCTTCATTCAATGGCCCTTTATTGGATGGCTTCATGGGTTGTTTTAAAATATCAACTATTACAAACAATTCTGCAATGGAAAACACTGAATGTTTTATTTCACAGATAAACTGTATCCTAGGTTTCTTGGTTCTTTCAATCTCACACACATGCCACTGTTTTCTGTGTGTTGTGCATCTTTACAGTAAGAGTGTCCTTATTCAACAGTAAGATCATTGGCCCTATGGCTGAAAATTTAGTTTGAATCATCTCTGTTTTTTAATTTATCATTAAAGTTATTTTGAATCAAAAATAGACACTGGATATCTACTATATCGTCTTAACTCTTAATTGAAAAAATAAACATTCTTCCTGATTCATGTGAAACTTTTGAGTTGAGTTCATTTTGATATTTCAAATTTGCACCCCTGGGTTAAAATCATTTAATCATGTACTTAGAAAGTGTTCTTATAAAGTTTTACCTTTATAAGTCCATATCAGTTATCACTATAACTTTCTCAGATAGTGTACACACATTTATTGCTCATTTACTCTGTACAACGTGTTTATCCTCATTCGTTTGAAATGGATTTACATTGGGTTAAGATATACATATTGACCTATCCAACCATAGCAATTCTTTATGAAATGTAAATATCTTCCTGATTATGAAAATTTTGTGCTAGTCCCTTGCTATTTCCACTACAGATTCATTTAAAAATGTTGCATAGTGTGTGTCTCAAAAATATGCCATATTTTAATACATTTCTGTAGAGCATTTTCTCATTTGTAAATGTTAAGAATTATCCTAGGAGACTAGAGGTAGATTGTTAAGAACTCCAGGTGGGAATGGAAATTTCATTTTGCAGCTGTCTTTTGTTCCATTTAGCTTTTATTTACTAAGAATGATATATATTGCAAGAGTAACATATTCACTCTTTTTTCACTCATTAGAGAAAAATTGTGAAAAATGAAATAGTATTTATGACAAGTCACTTTCTCAGAGTACATTTTTACAATTTCCTCCAAGCAAGTGTCGTCCCAAATTATATTTCAAAAAATGCTCTTATTCAAAAACCAAAAAAAAAATATTTTAATTTATTGTTAAAAAATATGTGAAATTCTAATGCTGACAGGTATCTAATACCCTGGTTGGTAATTCTAGAAGTCTTCAAATAAAAGTTTTTGCTTAACTTTATTTAAGATAGCCTTTCTTAAAGTGCTGTGAACACAAAGTGCTTCCTTTCAAAGTACAACTATGTGGATCCTTTATTTAGTTAGTTATTTGAAATCTACTTATTGAGTATTGATTATCAATACATTCTCTACCAGCATCCTGGAAAATCCATAGTAAGCTGAAAATCAGTTTTAGGTCTCAGCTTCCCAGAGTTTTCACTTCTTTCTTGCTCCCCTATTTCTCTATCTCAAAATACAAATGTTGCCTTCATGTCAGTGTGACATTTCATACAAAAACTCATAATACACGCAAAAATAAGCATGAAAATAGAAAAAGTTTCCCAATTATTTGACCTTAAAAATTAGAAGACCAAAGTATTAATTGAAATTTTAAATATAAGAGTTTATAATTAGTGTCAGTCGTTTCATCAACAAAGAGGTTGGCTTTTACCAACTACATCTGCCAAAAAGCCATTATATTTGACTGATCATGAGGTAGAGTTTCATGAACCTAATGATACTTTTTCCAAGGGCTATATATACATTTCTTTTAGTTTCTGTGACATTACATTTTGACTGAGAGTTGAAGGAATTCTTTTTCTTGATTCCTGGAATCAGATTTTTCTCTTCTGTGTTGCAGGAGACAAAATATTGAAATATTCAAAGACCCTCCATGCTTCAAAGCTTTGAAGAGGTGAGATATTCCAAGCTGGCAACTGTGAATTACCATATCAAAAATATTAAAAAACAAATTGTAGAATTATTTTTCTCCTGCCTGAGGATAGAGAAGAAATTTTAAAGTGAAGCCTTAAATATTGTGATTTTTATTGATTATTATTGACAAATCCTATTGAGTTAACTTTAGTCACAGTTACAAAAGAAAAAAAGGAGGAAAAGAAAAAGAAATAGTAATTGAAAAAAGTGGGCATGTGGTTTGTAGTTAGAACTCAATTATGCAGCAGTATACATTTATCTCTATAACCAGAATGATTGTCATGAGCTTCCATTTTGTATTAGTCCTAAAATAGTACTTAGTCTTTTCTAAGTGAATTGATTCAAACTCAGATTCCTCTCCTATTTTGTTCATCAGAGGACATTTTCCTGCACCTCCCCACTCCCCAGGTGTGTGGCTGCATGCCACCTCTTCCTTGTATATGATCTCTTAATTCTCTGTTACCTTATTCCTTCACGTAGAACTTGTCCTATATGGTCCTTACATGTATCACCAGGATCTATCTCTTGAGAGGTAATTGAGTAACTGAAGTAATCTATAATATCCTTCCTTGCCCAGGTCAACAGACCATGTACACGACTGTGTCCTGTGTCTTTGCCAATCTCAGAATTAGAAGCCAAAGGAAGGAAGGTTCCATCCAATACGTTACTGCACTAACTCTTGGCCACAAGTAAGTGAGCTGGCTGCCTCCAGGCCTCACACTCTGTCTGAAAGGTCATATGCACAAGGAATGTCCGCTCTTGCCTGTTCATCTTGGGGAATCCAGGGAGTGAGACCTCTCACATATCCCTAAAATCAGAGCTATTTCTGGGGTGCCTGGCACCAGGACTCACCATGGAAGGTAGCAAATGCCCAGGGATCTCATTCTGCTATTACACTGAGGTTCTTTTCTCATATTCTCCTGCTTCCTTCCCTAGTAGACACAGTCTTGGTTGAGTTCAAATAATTTGAAAGAGGATGATTAACTTCTTTCATTTGCTATCACTGCTAGTTCTTAAATTGCTTCATTTTACAATGACCTCATAGTTTGGAACTTCAAACGTAAAGATCTGCTGCTTTTTTCTCTTGCCACATTCTTCTATCTCCCATTGCACGGTAAGTGGTGACCCAATATCCTATAACCCACATTGGTTATGAGTTCAAATAGTTGTAGGTAAGAGAAAAAAAAAATTGCTATCACAAATCATTGAAGTCATATAATCTGATATTAGAAAGTTCTGCATTTTATTCTTGACTCTTCAGTTTTCTTACGGTAACCTTTAGTGGTTTACTTGCTATCGGCTTTTAAATTTACCATGCACATAATAATAATATTAACTGAGACTGTTTGTATGTATTGCATTTGTTCTCTTCTTTACATCATTTAATCCTGTCAAAAACTCAGTGAGTTTGATGGCCTTCATTTTTTAGTATTTATGGAGCAATTCCCATTAACTGCATTACTGGCATAGAATAGAAGGTATAAATAATAGTAACTCTTCATGAGATGGTTGAAAAATAAACATAACTGGTGATCAACCTGACTCTTAAAACACATTCATGGGGACAATATGTATTCACATAGATAAATTCTAAAGGGATATTATCTATCAAAATATATAACTATTTTCTGGGTCTGATCATATCTATGAATATATGAAAACATAGTTTTTCTTTTATCCTTTATTCCTTCAAATAGTTGTAATTAAGCATCTATTAATATTAAAGTATAGAATGAGGAAAATTCTATTTAAATCACTAATTATTGTATTTCTCTTCTGTAATTTATATTGGGAAATTTATTTTGCCTAAGCTTTTCTGGTGAAGAAAAAACTTATTTTTATATTTTCAAAATATTTCCCTGAGCATGAAACCTTAGGAGTTTCTTGATAATCAAAGTATTCTTCTCCCATCTGCTTGGGTTGAGATTCATACAAATATTTAGGGTTGGCACACATCACATGGGATGTTCTAAATCTGGAAGCATTTTTTTTTTTTTTCCAGAGACTGGGTCATTTAATAATGCTGTTATGGAGGCCGGAAGCATTAGACAGGATGGTGGAGCAGTGGTTGGCTAAGGTATCCTCTACATAAGTGTTCTGACCTGTTTTGAGTGCTGAAAGAGATGTCAAGGGTCTGCATTAAGCACTAAACCAATGCCATGCACTTTATCTGCAAATCAGAAGATTCCATGGAAACGAAAGAGGACTGGATAAAGTCACAGCAATATTTCTGTGTTTAAGAGGTAGTTCTCATATTCCTTTTAAGGGTTCTCTTCTGATTACTGACACAACCAGTATGATGTTTGGGAGAAGATCAGGAAATCCAAAAATCAGTGTCTATGAGGAGAAAGGAATCTGTCCTTTTTAGATCTACTACTCTGGTCTGGCAGTTTTGTGTGCATTACCTACATTTCCTTTTGCATTTTGTGACTGGCCTTGAGGAAATAAAGGGTGTAACAAAAAGTGAACACATTTGACACTCTGATTCTTGTATTGATTTTTCGACTTGCTTTGTCTTGATGACTGAGTCTCTCCAAGCCTCGCTGAGTGGTTTTGTTTGCAAACTATACTTTTTCTATGGCTGGAAAAAAATCATTTCTTATTATTCTGGCATGGCAATGTTGTGAGGTTTTCATGGAAACAAAGTTAATGAAGTCAGCCCCTTGTGCAGGTACTTTGTAATGATTTCATTAGCATCCATACAAAAACTCCCTAGCAAATGATATTTGCAATATAAATTCCCAGTGTAGACTTAGCATCTTTCAAAGTGATAGCACACAGTGTATAATAGCAGTGTGCCGCCTTAGTGTCAGAGTTTGACTGAACTGGAGTTATATTACAGTTTTACTTTCTTCTCTTCTCTTCCATATGGTGTCACACACCAGCACAGAATAATGCTAATGCCATTGCCACAATAGATTGTAAAAGATAGGTTTGTACCTAGTAATGTTTTTAGATATTTCAGTCTATATATTTAATGCATATAGAAAAGTTGTTCAGATTTCAGATGTGGACTTTGATGACAATCTGCTTTATTTTGCAGCAATGTTATTTATTTGTTGCCTGCTTAAGAGTAACACCAAATAAAACCTCCTTTTTTGTTGTTTGTTTGCATGTAGGTGGAGTATGAAGGTAGAGCAGCTAATGTATCTCTGAAATGAGTTTCTGGATATGTCTTGGTGAGGACACACAAGTTTGTGTTTTGAAATAGCTGGTGTTTAATTAACAGCTGTAGCTGTGAAAGCTCTGATTATATAAACAAGACAAATTTAGAGTTGACTTATTTTACAGTGTTTCTTCAAACTAGAGAAGATGTTAGAAGAAAGCAGGCATTATGTAAAATATATTGCATTTTAGTATTTTCACACTCTAAGAGGAAGGAAAAAACAGGTAAAAAACAAATTACAAAGAAATAATCAGGCAGGTAGTTTTAGAAATATTTACCATTAGGTAGACATGGTACAGCCACAAGTCTAAAATTTTAAAATAGAAGTTGGTTCTTTGAAGATAACAACAAAGTCAAAAACTGGAGTAGTAATTGTATTTTTTAAAGATTCTCAAGTTCATGACCTCCTAGATGAAAAAATAAAGAATCAATCAGAGTTCCTTTTAAGCAATGTGGTCACAGGCTAAAGTTAAAACTGGCTAAAATTTGAGATGCTTGGGCATTTAATATATGCTCCTAAAATGAGAAGCCAGCCATCTACCAGTAAAGTCAGGGCATGATGTAGAGGCAGTTTGGGGGCTTCATGCATAAGTAAGTGCAACAGTGACCTTGGCTGTCAGGAAAGAAAAATCAACAAGCAAATAGTTGAATGGATATGACAGATGTGAGTTAACAATGTGATTTTACTGTTATTAGTCACTGAAGAGAATGTTTGCTGATTTTGAAAACATGGCTTTTTAACTCCATATATGAAAACTAAGCTACAGAGTAGCATAATTTATTAATAAGAAATTTGATTTCATTATGATAAATTAAACTAGGCATTTTTATCTCCTAAACGAACTAATGAGAACTAGGCCTATACATTATCATGTTCAAACCCCAAAATGAAAAATCAGCTTTGATGCTCTTGTCATAATGTGCGTAAACAACACATATAACCTTTAAAGGGAATGTGTTATGTAACTCTCACATCGAAAGACATAAAATATACCCAATAAATAAATTAAGTTGAATTGCATAGTATGCACTGATGAAGGCAGTTGTAATTTCATAATTAATTATATTTTATAATCTACCTAGTGAAAGAACAAACACGTTAGTGTATCCAAACAGATTTTCATATCACTGGGTTTTCTAGTTTATATAAGATTATCTGGGAGTAATTATGAGTGTTTATCGAGCTACACATTTCTCTTTTACATTAAATAGTTAACTTGTTACATAATGATTCAGGAGATAACAATGAAAATAATTATAAATGACTTCATATTACCATGATATATGATTATATTAGGGTTGAGAGTAAATAATGGGCATATTCTTCAATGGCTTTTAATTATCCTCTAATGCAACTTTTCTAAAATGTGAGCCTGCTCTTTTTATTAAACTTAATTTTACCCCTGTTTGCTGAGTGAGGGTGTCTATAAGATGGAATAGCATGCCAACAACAGCAAGCCAATTAATTGTTGTTATAGTTTTTTTCATTTCTTAATTATAATGAGCACATTTATTTTTTAAAATTCATTTTTATTTTATTTTTATCTCCTCACATTTGTTTTAGCAACATAATAAGCACATTTAGAAAATAAAGAGAACAGAGGCACATATATTTCAGTGGAGCACTCGGGATGGCATCTTCAGATTAAAAAAAAAATCACATGTTGTCCCAAGAATAAGAGTTAGAAGAAGAGCTTTAAACAATATCTAAAAGACTGTTTATAGCCCACATTGCATTAATTCATCAAGCTGGGTACAGCAGGGGTCACTACCATGTCTGAGTTTCTCATTTGTTATTAATATCTTGGGCGAAGAGTAAGATGCGTGTTAATAAAACATGTCAGTGCTTTACAAATTGATAAGAGGCACGATATCACCCAGTCATGGATTATGGAGAACTCACGTGCTCCTCATGGACCTGAATGACAAACTGCAGTGCCTGAAGTCTCAACAGTTCCTGTGAGAACGTGCCCTCCACTTTCAGCAACGGGATTTTGAGAGGTTCATGACTTTCAACTTTCCTAAGCCTGATGAATCTGAGAATCTACGGTCCTGTCAATTTGATCTTTGCCCCTGTATTTGTCCCACAGAAACATTTGATTTTCTCTGCTGCTCTTCATTCTTTTGATATTTCTGACCCGAGCAGGTTAATCAAAGGTTGTTCTGAAGTGAACATTTTCCTCAGGGAGCGAGTCGCAGGCCATTCGTGTGACAGCAGAAGACCAGGCTCAACCCAGAAGTTATTCCTTAGAGCAAAAGGTCTCAAAGACTTTTGTCTGTCACATTCTTGCAAGAAACACATTTAACTTTAATAAATACAAAAAAAGTCGATCCCACAAAGCTTATGTAACACTCTCAAAACAGGTATTGTTCTGGTTTCTGAAAACTTATTTTTTCCATTTCCTTACTTGTTGATAAAGGTTCTAATTTTATTTCTCTATCTAGTGGAAGTCTCCTGAAAAAAGGAATCCTGAATATGAATTACAATCATCTTGCTATTAAAATAATAAAGAGTCCTCTCTGGGTTTTGTCCATGATAGTAGGGGCTATAGAATGTTAAAATAAAGTAGGAAATTTCAGTTGTGACTATTTGCTACCTACTAGTACAGTGAATAGTTATCAGAAAAAAATCACTCAAAATCAGGCATAAGAACTCTGATACATGATTTTTTAAAAAAGTTACAATTTATCTAAATGGGTTACATGAAATTATTCATTTTAAATTGTTCAAATACTAACATCATTCTACTTTTCTTATTTTTAAGGCATTCTAGGACAATAAGTTATCAGTAGCAAAGAAGAGATAGTCAATTTTACCTGAAACTTTATTTTAATGACATGTATACATATATTATATATATATATGTAAAAAGTTTCTGAATTACAGTGATAGGACATTTTTTCTTCAGCATTTATAATCTCTATGACCTTGAATAAGCCAAATATTCCTTACTTTCTTAATTTTGCAACATATTAAAATAATAGTGATAGAAGATTAGATTTAGGAGTGACCACAACAGTCATATCTCGCTGGTTCCACCATACAATCCCTTACCAAAAAATCATCTATCATTTCTTTCTCCAAAAAGTTCCTATCCTCACAGTATTACAGAATAAGTAATATAGGTAATGTAAAAAACTTATTTAATAATTTGTTTGGAAAATGGAATAAAAACCTAGCAAATCATAAATTATTATCCATGAAAGCCAAAATGAATTAGAGATAATGTACAAGGTTGGATTTATAAATAAAGCAAATAAAGAAACCTTAAGTTATTAAATATTTTCTCTAATACATATATAGCCTGTCTAATGTCATGAAAGAGAGGGCATTTTAAGGCTAAGATTTGTAGATTGTAACAAATATAAAATTAAAGTTTTATTTTTCAAACAACAAGCAAAAGTTAAAGGCAAGATATCCAATTTTGTAGAAATTGAAAAACTAATACTAGAAATGCTATGGAAAATAGCTAATAATGGTTAAGTAAATCTTGAGAAAGGAATTTAGAGGACTGATACATTTTTATTATAGCTATTGGAATGTAATTAAAACAATGAAGTATTGATACAAAATAAAATGAAATAGAGATTTTAGAAATAAGTGTACACACGAGTTCACCTAATTTAATAAACAACAACGACAGAAAAAACATGGGGTAGTTTCACTTCATTACAGTGAGAATAAATGTTCAGAAGATGTGCTAGAACAGTCAGCTATCCGAAGGAAAATGAAAAGTGAGTATTGACCCCTACCTCACACTACAGATAACATTCACCTGACATGGATCATAGGATTAAGCTTGACAACTTAAAGACACAGGATTGAAGAAGACATTTGCAATACAGGTATTTGTCAAATGACTCAAATTCAGAATGTATAGCTACCCTTTTCACATGAATAAGAGAAAGGCAGAGGATCCAACAGGAGAAGAAAAAGAAGATATCCAAGTGGCAGATAAACAATGGCAGATATTCTCAACAGCTCTGGTTACTCATGGAAACCCAAACTTAAATTAGCAGCTGATATGACTATCTACCAATACAGAAGGCTAGAAACGTAAACACCAGTCTTAAGGAGGGTCTGCAGGAAGGAGTTTTATGCTAGTGAGAGTTTGAATTGATACAACTACTTTGAAAACACAGTTTTGCAGTGTCTACTGAAGCTGAGTATGTGCATATACTCTCTGGCCCAGAAATCCTACTCCTAAGCACACACCCTAGAAATGCATATATGTTTTCACCAGAAAACCTATGCAAATATTGTAATAGCATCACTGTTTGTAATATAGCCATAAGCTGAAAACAAGCTCAGCACAGTCAACATACCTCCAATATGTTGCTGCACTGTGATGTTGTTTACATATCTGCTTCTGCCCAGAGGAAAACTTCACATGATCCATCAAACACTGACAGTTTCCACCTCAAACCTTCACCCTTTCCTATTATTAATATCACTGTTATTTAAGTAACTCAGCCTTGTTCTTTCAATATCTCACAAAAATTAGTGAAATACATTTTGCATATCATCACATCTCTTTCAATCCTCTCTTTAAAAGTAAGGCTTCATTCACTTGCAGTGCTCCAAGAAAACCTCAGAGAGGGAGCTTCCTATACAGATCCTTTGTGATGAAAACAAACATGTTTGCTGAGTAGAAGTGTTTTCTCAAGGGAATAACTAGCTGATTGATCACCACATCATTAAACAGACTCTTGGAAGTCCAGTCCAGCAGTCCACCTAATGTCAATGTACAGATGCAATGCATAAGCTCAAAATCATTTTCTGTATATTTACAAGAGGAAAATAGCAGATGGGGCCAGCCACTGTGGCTCATGCATATAATCCCAGCACTTTGGGAGGCCAAGGTCGGAGGGTCACTTGAAGCCACGAGTTCAAGACCAGACTGGGCAACATGGCAAGACCCCATCTCCATAAGAAATAATAACAAAAATATAATTAGCCAACTGCCAGGCCATGTGCCTGTAGTCCCAGCTACTCAGGAGGGTGGGGTGGGAGGA